CAGGGCCTGCTGGGTCACGAGAGCCATGGGACCTCCCTGCAGAGGTGGCCTTCAGGCTGAGGCTGGACAGATGTGCAGTGACTGGCCTGGAAAGAGGCGTCACTGCTGGGGGAGGTGCTGGCAGCCTGTGGGGGTGGGCTTGGCTGGGACTGGGGTGGGGGGTGGGGGTGGGCCCTAGGTGGGCTCTGGCCTGGTCTCCGAGATGCCCCCTCCAGGGTCCCCATCTGTCCTGGACTCCTCCGCCCATGCAGCGTCTTGCCAGCCCCCCTTGAGGCACCCCCGGCAGGAAGAGGCAATGACACTGGACTGGGCTGGCTGTGGAGACCCCGTGGAAGCCACTTTTGTCTTTCATGGTTAAAGATTGCTGACTTGGAGAAGATTTAGAGAAACAAATTTAGAATAAGCTGTAATTTTTAAATGCCCCAAGGTGCCCTGATCTTGAAAATCTCACTACACACATGTTCTTGGTCGTTTGATCAATCCCCTCTTCTTGGGAATCTAAGTTGTTTCCATCATGCCTGGGTGGCCACGGCAGCTCTGCCTGGCAAGACCTGCCGATTGCTGCCTCCAAGCACTGCCGAGAAAGAGTCTGTAGGAGGCTGCACCAGCGGGCCCGAGCCCTGGGCACCCAGCACTGGTTAGGCCCCAGGAGGAAGCGGGAACAGTGCCTACTGGGCGTTGATGCATGTGGCAAGCATCCCTGTACCTGAGAGCGGTCACAGGTGCTGAGGAGCCCTGCGGGGCTGTCCGGACTGTGGCCAGCTGTGCAGCTGCTAGGGCGGTACCTGGGCTGGAGAGTTTGGAAGCAGAGGAGAAACAGGCTGATTTGCATCATGGAAAGTCCACGCTCTGGGCCAAGTGGAGGGGTTGGGGATGGGCTGTGGCAGTGACTGGGTGGAAGGTGGCGGATGGAGAGGAGGGTCCCAATGGGGTTTTTCCAGGGACCATGGCAGAGCAGCACCTGATGGCAAGGGGGTGCTGGTCTCAGGGGTCTGACACCCAGGCAGGGAGCCTGGGGGCCCCTCGGTGACTGGGCTGAACTTCTCCTTAGCCAGCTGGCTACGTGGGAAGGCCATTGGGAAGGAAAAGTGCCGCCTCCTAAGTGCATCCTGCCTCAAGTCCAGTGTGGAGGCCTGCTTTGGCCTCCGTCCCCCTGACCGTCCTCCTCCCTCCCCCAGGCCCCAGCGCGGCCAGACGCCGTCCACCAGTGGTGCCGAGAGCCCTTTATCAGATAATAAATAAGGCGGCTGGAGCCGTCCGTGTCAACATCTTGGCGGGCTTCGAAGGGCATTGCAGGGGGGGCTGCTCACCGTGGCCTCCAAGTGGCCGTCGAGGGCCAGCCACCCCCACTCAGGCTCCAGTGGGACTGCCGGGCTCAGCCAGCCTCCACCTTTTGGGGCTGATTAAGCCCCCACAGAGGTGTGTAGCGGGGTGGGGGGGGTGGGGAGGACGGGGCACAGGGGTCCTGCAGACTCACAGCCAGGGGCATCTGGCCTCTGGCCTCTTGTCTGCTGGACGGGTCCACTGGGGGTCAGGACCTGGAGCCTTGCCATCTTTCTGTGTGCAGTACACACACCCCGCACTGCCCGCCCCGTCCACAGGCTTGCAGCGAAGCAGAGAGTGAGGAGAGTCGCCGTCCCCTCCCCACCGTGCACTCTGGCGTGTGGAGGCCTAAGGGCCTGGCCTTGATGGTGGTGATGGAGCAACTGTTCTTTGCTGAGAAATGTCTTTTGGTCATATGAAAGTTGGTGCCTGCGATGCTCCCCCAGAGAACAATTTTCCCTTAATAAGCTTGTCATGTTTTTCAGACAAGCACCTCGGAGAATCCACACCTGGTTTTCCAGGGGCCTCTGTGGTAGCAAAGGGGAAACTAACCCCAAGCCCGTGGAAGTAGGGCTGCCCTGCCTGGTTCAGCTGGTGCAGGCGGCTCACAGAGGTGCGGCGATGCTCCGCTGAAAGGGCCCATGGGGACAGCCTGTGCCTGGCGCATGCAGCCACCATGCCCTTGACTAACTGCAGCCAAGACTCAGAAAAGCAGGGTGAGTGGCAGCCCTTGGGCACCATGACCCTGCCCCACCCCAGGGACGAGGAGGGGGATGGGGGCTGCTCCCAGGAGCAAGCTCTGCAGGACTGTCCCTGGGACCCCTAGCCTCGCAGCTTCGTGGCAAACTAAGAGCTCTCGTGGGCAGAGGGGTGCTCTAGGAATCGTCCTGGTGCCAGAAGCCCCAGCGAGGACACCCCAGGGTCTCCCCTTTTCCTCCACCCTGTGCTGCTTTCCTTGTGGGATCTCCTCCCCAGGCCCAGCAGGGCTCGCAGACCCGGGTGGAGTTCGCCTTGTCCAGGCCCCCCGGGCATCTGCTGCAGCTGGAGCGGTGATGGGAGCGAAGCGGTGCTGTGTGGCGCAGATGCGGCGGCCTTTCCTCCCGGCTGCGGCTGATAAGGGCCCAGGCTGCCCGTGCCTGCCAGCCTCCCCATGCATCCGGTTGTTTATGACCCGCCGGTGGGGTGGAGGGAGGAAGGGCGGCAGGAAGGGGGGTGCCCGGCCGCTATATTAAGGCTTCGGGTCCTGACAGCTTCCCGGCCCTGAAGATGCAGGGGGGATAAAGCTTAAATTTAGCAGCAAGGCCATGCCCAGCGGTGGAGCGCTCGGCCTCCTCATCCCGGGCACAGCCTTCAGGACAAGCACAAGGAAGAAAGTGCTGCTCCCTGGTGGGGCTGCCAGATCACCCCTCCTGTCAGTGACCCCTCTCTGTGGTCGGGTGGTAGGGAGCCGGAGCACCCAGCTCCTCGGAGTCCATCTGCGGTACCTTGCCTGTCCTGGGGAGTGGGCTCGTGGAAGGGGCACTAGCTGGGTGACTCCCACCCTGTGCCTCAGTTTCCTTGCCTGTGAATGGTCTCCTGGGAAGGGCAGCTCAGGGCCTGTGTGTGTGGATACGGTGGCAGTCCTTCCTCTGTGACCACAGCCCCACACGTGTACGGCACACTGGCCGCCCAGGCCAGCGCCTGTCCAGCTGCTAGACAGACAACTGCCCAGAGAGCTTCCTCTGCAGCTTGGCCCCGGCCATGTGGCATCACAGAGACCCCTGGGTGCCAGTGACCATGCAGGTTCCCAGGCCCCAGTGTCACCGACCTGGCCCCGAGCCCTGAGACTGCATTCAACTGGCTCTTAGATCATCCAGATCTGGGCCGTCTCTGCTGCAGCCCTCTGTGTGGGGAGCTGCAGGATCCCTGATTCACATACAGGGACCAAGACACAGAGGCTAGCGACTTCCTGTGGAGACAACGAGAGGTGAACTTCCACCCAGGCCGATCCACATCTCACACCGTTTCCCTGGGGTTCGAGAGCCATATGGGGACATAGAGGCTGCCCTTGCCCCAGACCTCAGCTTGCTCTGTCCTCTCTTCCTATGCCAGGGGAGAAGCGGCAGGGCAGCGACACTGACCCCAAAGCAGCCTGACACCTCACCGTGTGGGCCCCCAGTCCCAGGCTGACCCATACCCCGCCCTGCCTGGTATCCCTGCTGTGCCGGCAAGCGACCTCGACCTCGAAGGTACTCAGTGTTTACAGGTCTTATCAGGCCCTACACATGCCCCGAGGTCTCCTGGCATGACTCTGAGTGGCCAGGGAGGTCCCCTCAGGGACATGTTTCCAAAGGGAGAGACAGCTTGAATGAATGTGGGCCCCACTGACCTGCCAGGTGAGGATGAGGCCCACAGGTGTTTGGGGAAAGGGGAGCAGAATCAAGGTCTTCACTAGGCATTTTTTTCTCACAGCATCACTTGCCTTTGAAAAAAGACAACTTCATGTATAAACTGGGCTGGTTGAACTCAAGGTACAAATTCAGGATGAACTGATACACCTGGGAAACTGATGCCAGGAAGGAATGTTTTTAAATATGAAAAGAAGTTTTATACAGAGTGACACAATGGGGACAGAGTGACACAATGGGGACAGGCCCAAAACTATTCTAGTTGGCTCACAGTATTTTAAAGATTTTTTAATCAAATTGGAGTTAAGTGGGAAAAAAGCTTTCAACTAGAAAACTTCACATTAAAAAAATACATTCCCAAATTGGGTATGAATGGGTTTTCTTGTGCTCTGGGGGATACAAGTTTTAAGAAGAAAAAAATCCAGGTTTCTCATTTTTCTGGGAAGATCAGGTCTTATTACTGGGCAGAAGTGAGGGCGCGGCCCTTCCCCAGGATGCGCCCCACTCCCCTCCGCTCCGGTCGTCTCCCCGGCACCATGCTGTCAGGAGCCATTTGGCTTTGCTGAGCTGTTTCCTCTAGCCAGCATGGCCAACTGATTTATCCATCAACCCTGTGAGGGAAGGGCTTTTGTAAGTGAAAGGGGATGTTGCTAATAATTTTTCTGGGATAACAGACTAAACTGGGACAGTCCCAGATAAGCCAGGGTAAGTGGTCAACCCCCCAGCAGCCCTGAGAGCATCTGCGTGTGTCAGAACGGGGGCTCAGCACTTCACTCTGTCAGAAATGGTCACAGTGCACAGATGCAATCAGAACAAGGCCCTTTACCACTCCCTCTGGAAAAACCGTCCCAATAAATACAGGAGTCCACGACCGTGATGCGAACGCTTCCTCTCATGGAGGTGTCCTGACACAGCGCACGACCTGCACATGTGTCCCTGGGCGCCCTGAACTCACAGAAGGGCAAGCTCTATGCGCCGTGGCTCGATCCATCAATGTGAGAGACAGACAGTCCCCCAGGCCCGAGGGGGGCCTCCTGCCGCCTGCCTGGCCTCGGCCGTTTCACTTACGACCCTGGCTTTAAAGCAGAAGGTTGGGGTTCTTCCAACTGCCGCAACCTGTAAACATGCGATGCGAGCGCGGACATCAGAACTCAAGCTGGTGCTGGGCACCCCGGGTCAGCCTTGGCTGGAGTGGCCAGTGTGGCTCAGAGCCTCACACAGCGTTTGGGGGTCCTCTGCTGTCCAGCAGGGGCTTTTCCCACCGGCCTTCCTCCTCCTCTGGGGCCTCGCTGCCACCAAGCTGCTGGATGCCCAGTGCCTCCATCCTGCTGGCACCAGTCGCTTCTGGTGGGTGAGCCTGGCAGTGTCTCTCTGCTGTGCTGGAGTGAAGCAGGCAGCGAGGTGGGTTGGGTGGGTGCCTGGGGACCTAGGCCAAGGCCATGGCGCACCAGGCCTCCTGGCGCAGGGCCCCACTGAGGCCAGCCTGGGGGCCGAGGGCTGCGGAGGGGAAGGCAAAGTCCTCTGGCTCAAATTTGAACTCCAAATGGTTGGGGGCCAGGGGGTCATCCGCTTGGCTGGGGGCCTGCAGGGGGGACAGGGGATGCATGAGAATGCAGGAGTGGCTGCCAGCCTGGCTGGGGCCAAGCGGCCTCCTCAGGCCCTGGAAGGGGGTGGGGACATTCACGAGGATCCATGTCCAGGCTCCCAGCCTGTTGCCTGCCAAGGGACAGCTCCTGTACCAGTGACCCACTCTGTGCCCAGCCCTGAGTCCCTGGGGGAGGCCCTTGGGGGCTCTGATGGGGGTCCGACCCAGCTGGAGCCAGGCATTCCTGAGGGAGCCGGCACTGGGCATCACACCCCACCCTGTCTGTCTTACCTGGGAGGTGATGCTGGACCCAGGGCATGAGAGGGACGCCATGCTGGGCTCAGGTTTCAAAGTGGTCACTGAGCTCTCAGGGTCAGGGACAGAGGACGACGGGGAGGCTGGAGGGTTTCCTGAGGGCCCTGGGACAGAAGGCGGGCACTTACAGATGCGGCCACACCTGGCTGCGAGGGTCATGCGGGGAATAAGGGGGACCAGACCTCCTGCCCCACAGCCCTGTGAGCTCACAGCACCGCACCCCCCTAACCAGAGCCACCCCAGAGCAGAGTGGGGGGAGATGATGCTTGAACCACATGTGTGAAGCTTTAACAGTGGAATTGGAGACACTCAAAGCGGCTCCTATGGAGAATGTGAGCCCCACCCGAGGGGCTGGGCACCCCCTGAACCACCGGCAGTCCGGCCCCTGCACCTGCGGAGCCCTTGGTCTTGGTGAGGCTCTTAGGCTTCCGTTTCCGGGTCTGGATACTTTCCTTCTTCATGGCCAGGGGCCGCGGCACCTGCGGGGGGCGGGCTGGTGGTTCCTACTGCAGCTCACCCCCAGGGACTCGCACGGCCCCTGCCCTGAACTCAGCCCAAAGAGCCAGTCACTTCTGGGGCTAACCGGCTCCTCGCAGCCCTGGTCGCCGAACTGTGCCCCTGGGCCCGGGCTTTCCTCCACAGAGGGCGGGAGGAGCCCCTGCGCCCCCTCCCACTGCCCACAGAGCCCCGGGGACCAGGGGGCCCTGGGGTGCACAGAGGCAAGGCTGGGCTGACCATACTGTGCCCCAGGCTGACCGAAAGTGGGAGCCCACCTGCACGGGGGGCCAACCCCTGGCTGTGGGGGACAGGGGGTGGTGGTGGGCGCACCCTGCCTCAGGCAGCCAGCCCCTGGTCACCTGGCAGGGCCTCCACGTGACAAGTCGCAGCCGCCCGCCCACCGCAGCCCCGCCCCACCCGTGCTCACCCCGTGCAGCTTCGTGTAGAGGCCGCAGGCGTTGCACACCGGCTCGCCGTCAGCATTGCGCCTCCACAGCGTCGTGTTGGTCGTGTGGCAGTTGGTGCAGCAGAGGCCAGCTCGGCGGGACGAGGACTGTGGAGCGGGGACGGCGGCGGGGCTGGGTCAGCCACCGGCCGCCAGGAGGACCCCGTGGGCCGGGTGGGAGGTGTTTGGGCGCCAAGGTCGGGAGGTCTGCCCGGGCCTTTCCCCACCGGTAAAACGAGGGCAATAACGGGCCCACGATAGGCCTGCTGTGGGTTAGGGTCCCACGAAGGACCCAGCGCAGAAACGCTGCTGACCTCCGGGTGTCTCCCTTAAGCTACGGACGCTGGGCCTTGATCCGGTGTTTTTAGGGTGGAGCGGCGTCCGCAGGGGCCCCTCTGGAGGCCAGGCCCCAGGCCGAACACTCAGGGGGCCTGCTGGCCCTCGGGCACCCGAGCATTTGCTCAGCTTGGCCACTCCACCGAATGGTGGGCTGAGGGTACCAGGTCCCACAGACCCAGGCCTCCCCTTGCTGTTCACCAGCCCCACGCAGGGCGAACCAGGCCCACCTGGCACCCTCCAGGGGCCCTGACATTCCAAAGGCCTACATCTTTAACGTGCCTCTGCAGAGCTGCCCCCTGAGTCGCGCAGGTCTGTATGTGACCAGGGACCCCAAACCTGCCTGCACGCGGGGGCCCAGCAGGGTCCACATAGCACTAACCCCAGGGATCCTGACAGTGGGTCAGGCACCTGGACCTGATGAGGCCTGGGGGGACAGAAGGGGATCTGTGAAGCTGTCTGGTTGGGGAGTCACTGGAAGGCCTGACGGGACCTCCCACCAGCTCAGGGTCCCCCGAGCTCCCAGAGCCCAGCCCACCTTTCAGGCACAGATTCTTCTGGGTTCTCACTGCTTCGGTTGAACAGGGTCTGGACCCCACAGTTGGGAGCCCCAGTGCTCTGGGTGAGGCCCCGGTCCCCCAGGGCCTCTGACTGCAGCCCTTCCCTGTGCCTTGGAGCAGCTTTCTGGTGACACTGCCCGCCAGTTCCTGCTTGCCAGACTTCATCCTCAAGGAAGTCTTTACCCCAGCCCTAAGCTGTCCCCTTGGGGCAGCCAGGGTCAGAGGTCAGAGCAAGTCACACCACCCTGTGCTCCAGTGGCACCTTGGGCACTGGCACAGAAGCCCACAAGGACCCCACACTCACAACTGAGCCTAGGATGTGTCCCTTCCTCAGAACTCTCTGGCCCAGGGCAGAGCCAGGGGGCAATCACAGGGGGACAGCCAAGCAGAACCACAGAGCGAACTGTCCCGGGTCGGGGTGAGAAGGCAGCGCCCAGCCTCAGGTTCCCCGTCGGTCCGCGGTCTCCAGGGTCCTTCCCTATGCAGTGACTGTGTGTGCCGGGCCTTGCCGACCCCTCCTGCCCCCCATTTCTCCTGCAGTCAGCTGATCAGGGCCTACCCCTGGGAACAACAGCCTGGGAGGGGAGCGGGGGAGGGCCTGCCGGGAGCCCTCCAACCAGCCGCTCCCAAGAAAACCCTGGACGAGGACCTGCTTCCTTGCCCCCCCCGCCCAGGCTGCAGGCAGCGGCCAGAGGCTCCAGAGGCTCCCACCCTGTTCAACCTAAGGCTCAGCCTCCTGTCTCCAGGCAGGACTCTGCCCCAGGCTCCGGGACAAGAGGAGCCGGAGGCTCAGAAGGGCAGAGTCCTTGGAGGGGAGGCTGCAGACGCAGGGCAGGGCCGGAGCGCCCAGCCTGGAGGCCCCATGCTTGGCCGTCGCTGTGCTGGGCATGATGTCCAACCTCTCAGGGCTTTCCAGCAGTCTCCCTGGGGGTGCCCGGGTGGGGGTCTTGCACATTTGCTGGAGCAGGAGGGCTGGCGCCCAGCCAAGGCCCCGGCAGAACCTCAAGGGCCAGGCCATGGGACACGTGTGGAGGCAGGAGTGCCGGGCCCAGCGTCACCCCGGGCCCCCAGCAGAGCCTCCGCCTGGGAGGCCCTTGGCCGTATCCAGACTTCACCTAGAGTAGCTTTTATTGGGTCAGATTCAAGTATCCTCCTCCCTTCCTTCAACCTGCCTGTCGGGTACCTGGAGCCCTGCACACAGCGGGTGCCCCTGTTCCCTCCTGGTCCACTTTCAGCACAAGGCAGGGTCTCCTGTCTTGCCACCCACCCCATCCCAGGATCCCCTAACCTCTGGCAAAGCTGCCAGATTTAGCAAAAAAAAAAAACAACACCCTGCTAGATGTGGATTTCTAGACACAAATACTTTATAGAGGGTGTCCCATGCAATATTTGGGACATACTGATGCTAAAATGCTATTTGTTGTTTATCTGAAATTCACGTTTGACTGTGCATCCTGTATTTTAACTGGTGACCCTAACCCCCCTTCTAGGCCCCACCGTGGTCCCCATCTCCTGCTGTGCCTTCAGACTAAGGGGAGACCATGGCCTGAACCCCACCTGCTCCTTATCCAGCTGGGACCCTCAGTCACTTTTACCAACATTCACTCCCTTAGATTCACACTGCCATCCCACGTTCCAGAAATGTGCCAGCATCACTAAAATGAATCACAACATGGAATGCTGTCTCCTCATGCCACCCAGGCCACTTCCTACCCAAATCCTCCCTACAGAGACACTCCCTGGAGGCACATAGATGCCAGTGCGAAGACATGATGCAGTGCTATTCAGTAGCATGCACACATGGGTGTGGACACGTGTGGGCTTGCCTGCAAATATGCACACCTTCCCCTGAACACCCCCAGAATCACCTGTGCATCTCGGAAGAGCAGAACTACACACACCCACAGTGGAGCTACTCCTACAAGGTGGGCTGTGGAGAGAAATGGCATGTGGCATATACACAGAATACATGGGTGTGGAAACCTGCCCCAGAGGCATATGCACCCAGCACCTTATGCCCTAAGAGTACAAGGGAAACATCTGGAAGCCACTTGTGAATCTTTTGACAGTGAGCATAAACTAAAACTAAGAGACTGGAAATTAAGTTAAAATGGGCCCATGTAAAAAAAGAGTGCCTCAAAAAATATTTGAAGCATTTGCTTGTTTGTATTTACCTATCCCCTTGCCAGCCTGCATTTTACGGATGGGAAACCAAGGCTTAGGGCTGTTGAGGGGCCAGAGGGGCCGCAGTGGCCCCAGGACGGACATTGTTACCTCCCTCGGCTCATCACACCCCTGCCCTTCCTTCCTCACAGTGTGGACGAGCAGCCAGACCTGGCGGCTCTCAGGGTTCCCTGCCCACCAGGCCTCCCCTCGCTGCATTTTGTTTTTCTTTTTTGATCTGTTCTTTTCAAACTAAGTTAAACTTCAAAGCCTGCTGGCACAACTGCAGCAGAACCACCCCAGCTCCAGGCTCTGCGAGCAACTGAGACACACAGAGATCAGGACGGTGGTCGGCACAGAGTCTGGGGGGAACCTGGGGGTGCTGGCAGAGGGAAGGCGCTGAGCGCAGCTTGGAGGGGTGCGGCGCGCACATGCGTCAAGTGCTGCAGGTGGCAGGCAACCTGCCCTGCAGAGCAGCGAAAAATGGCCCCAATTTCTGACGGTCCTCCCAGTGCTCTTGGAGGGGAGACGGGTGGATGCCTAGCCTGAAAACGCACACGTGTCCCTCCCTGCCTAAGAACAAACTGCAGGGCACCAGTCGTGAGGCGGGGCTTGTAGGAAGGAAAACCCGGCTCCAGAGAGCGGGTCTGAAGCCTCAGTCAAGGTCCAGGCTTGCTCTGCGAAGGACGCTGGGCCTCACAGGGCACCGGCCACTTCCTGGAGCTGGCGCCAGAGCTGGCCTCGGGCCAGTGGGTCTGCTGCCCACTGACCTTGGCTGCTGGGCTCCAGTGTTTAGGGGATTGGGTATGTGGGGCTCCTAGGGCACCTCACCATGGGGACCACAGCTATCCTCTCCGCTCAGCTGTGACAGAAGGCGCAGGCCAAGGGTGCACACAGGATGCGAAGGACAAAAACAGGGAGCAAGCATGTGTTCTTGTTATTGTCACATCCCTGTGCTCTTGGTGACAAGCTCCGAGGACACTTGTAATCATTAAAAATTCCTCCTGGGGAGGCCTCTCCTGAGATATCAATTCTGACCGTGTGTGGGGCAGTGAGTCACTGGAGTGGGTTTAAGTCTGCGGTGACTGTCCAGTCCTGTGACCCAGGCTCCCGCATCTCAGGCCTCCGAGGGCCTTGGGTGTCCATGTGAGTGGTGGGGCTGCCCACCCTGAGTGCCAGGCACAGACCCACTGAGCCAGTGCAGCATGCCTGGGGGTAGGGGTGCATGCACAGGGCAGAGACTCTGAGAGTCTGCTCCGGAGGCACGGCATGGGTGGAAGGGGGTTGGGGGACCTGCAGACCCCACACACTGGTAGGATCAGAGGGAGAGAGACAGGGCTGCCCTCAGGCTGCCTGCCCAGTCTGGGCCTCCGAGGGGTGGGCTCCAGTGCTCCCTGTGGCCCAGAACAGGAGCCCTGGCAGGCTGGTCAGACCACCCTATGGCGTCAGCCAGGGCCAGACCCTTCCCCACCTCCAGGCCTCACACACCAAAACTGGCCATAACTCACTGACTGGCTGTTGGGGCTTCTCCCAGCATCAGACCTAAAGGCGCGGCACACCCAGACACACCCCACTGTGCAGACCTGGGAGCCGCTGCAGACTCGGGCCTTTCCACTTATTTACAAAATTATTTGATCATCAGAGATTTTGTGTGACACCACATAGAACAAAGTAACTTTAAACCTTTATCAACTTCTGGGGACTCTGCCCTGCTAGGGGCAAAAGTCGAGCTCTTGGTTCCCCAAGTCCCAACCCAGCCCCACGCCAGAGTGAACCAAAACTGAAAACAAGTTTTGCCCGGCGGCAAGCAGCCCTAGGCCTGGCCTCACTGTTGGTGGTGTTGCATAGAAAGAGCTCCCCAAGGGCTGGGTCCCGAGGCCCCCTGCTAGGTGGGATTTCAATGTCCTGGGTCTGCACGGCCCCACCTTCCCCTCCAGCACCCCCTGGTCAGGTCACCCTGTTCCTCCCCCTACCCAGCCAGGCGGAAGCCCCAGGCGCCCTGGGGGCCAAAAGCTGCGTTGGGGCGCCGATCAGGACGGGCAGTGCCACTGTCCGCAGGAGCCACTGGCCCCCAGCCCGGCCCCGCACTCACCAGGCGCTTCTGGGGCCGCACGAGTGGCCGGTTGACGCCGTTCATCTTGTGATAGAGGCCGCAGGCGTTGCACAGGTAATGTCCGGTGCCGTCGCGGCGCCACAGCGGCGTGGACAGGGCCCCGCAGTTGACGCACTCGCGCCCCTCGCCCGGGAACTCCTCCAAGAAGTCTGACACTGCGGGACGGCAGCTCGTGGGCCGGGGCTCTGCGCCCGGGGCCCAAGCACCCGCTCTGCTTTTACCCTTCCTTGTGTGTCTGTCCTAAACTTGTACTTTTAAAACTAATTTTATCTAATTCTATTTGAAATTTTAACTTCGCGCACAGCAGAGTTTGTGTCGATTTGAAAACCCTGTTAGGGTTGTTTTAAAAGATGGGCGGGGGGAGGGCCAATAAATCAAAGCTCAGGGGACAACAGGGCGCAGTCCCTCTGAATCCCCCGACGTGCACTAGCGTCCCCGATTTGGGTCCCTGGGGCTACAACACAGTACACACACAGACGGAGGGGACGGAAAGGTCGCGTGCTGTGCAGGGTGGGCCAGTCAGGAGGAGCTGGGGGCAGGCTGTGGGATCTCGGCTCCCCCGAGGACCGGGGTGCCCTTGCTACGACCACCGCCCTCCCTGGGAAGGCAGCGCGGCTGGCTCCAGCGCCCACCCCGGGCGCCGCAGGCAGAGGTCCCCTGCCCCCCAGGCGCCAGCGACTCGCGGGCGGCCGGGAGGGGGCGGGGCGGGGATCAATCATCGCCGGGCTGGGCGTGGGCGCCAGGCGCGGGGCAGCCCTGGGCAGCGGGGGCCGAGGCGACCCGCTTCCTGCGCGGAGCAGCCGGCGCCGGTGGCCGCCCCGGAGCTGTGCCCGGGAGCGTCGGCCCGGGGCCTCCCCGCGGGCGCAAACAGGGGCGTGGCGCTGGGTTTCAGCCCCGGGCCGAGAAAGTGCGGTGGCGCCGGCCACTCAGAACCCGGGTGGGGCATCACCGCTTTACAGGCCCGGAATCCGACCGTCCAAACGTATACCCCGGGGACACCTCACAACCAGGGCTCGAATTAGAATATGTAAACATCCTAGAACAGACGTGAATGTGGATGTTTGAATCAACTGACATTTTGAATTTTACAAAAATCATTTCCGAAACTTTTCACACAAACATTTAAGAAGTAGGCTCTAAATTGGCAGGATCCGAATGTTGGGCTCCCACGAACGAAAGGTGGAAATATGTACATTTTTTCACTACCGTGTAAGAGAAATCAGGACGCGGCGTTTTCCCGCAGGGTGGGTGAGGCTGTGGCAGACGGTTTCCGCCCGGGTTCATTCATGTCCCTGAGTCCTGGGCCATGTCGGCGCCCCACCGGCGGGAAAGCCCCGATGCCGGGGAGCCGGGGAGGGATGGTTCGTAGGGAGCGGGCTACGGACAGAGCCCGGGACCCAAGTCAGCGGCGCCGCCCCAGCCCCACGCTCACCGAAGGTGGCTCTGCGGCCAGGGAGGCCAGCCGGGCGGCCCTGCAGGCCGTGCAGGACGCTGCCGTCGAAGGGCCCGGAGGTCCAGGGCGGGCCCACCTCGGTGCTCACGTAGGCCGGGTACGCGGTGGGGTACGAGGCGCCCACGGGCCCCCCAAGCGGGGCCGGGAACTGCTCTCGAGCCAGCAGCGCGCTCTGGTAGGTTCTGCCGTCGCGAGTCCCCGCGCCGCCGCCGGGCCCCGGGGGGCTGTGCGCGAAGGGGAAGGCGGCGGTCCCGGGCGGCTGGGCGACCGGCGGGTGCGCGCTGCCGGAGCCGAAGGCCGACGAGTCCGCCGCGGCCGCCTGCGCCCAGCTGGGGTGCGCGGCCAGCGCCGGGGGCTGCGGGCCTGGCTCACACGCTGGCAGGTAGGGCAGCATGGAGGGGACGCGCGCGGGCGGCACGAACACCGGGGAACCGGCGCCCGGGGTGCGCAGGAAGGCGCCCGAGTCGGCGTACGAGGCCTGGCCGGGGCTCGGGGCCAGCGCCAGGCTCTGGTACATCTTCCCGGGCGCCGCCCTGACCTGCAGGGAGAGGGACGGGCATCGAGGCCACGGCTGCCGTGCGCCCGTGCGTGGTGGGTGCCGCCCGGGGAGGCTCCGGAACTCGCGAGCGCAGAACGGCGGGGCGGCGGCAGGGTCGGCCCCGAGGGCGGTGGGACGCGGCGTTCCCGGGGTGGGCTCGGCGGGGCGCGGGGCCGGGCTGGGGCACTCACCGGCTGTCGGGAGGACCGGAGGGCGCGGCGGACCGGCGACAGGCGGGCTGGACACTGGGGGCCGGAGGCCGCGCGGCTCCGCAGGGAATCCCGGGCGCTCCGCGGCCCCTCCGCGCCGCCCCGCCCCGGCCCGGCCCTCCCGGCCCCGCCGCGCCGCCCCTGCTCCCCCGGCGCCCTCCCTCCCTCCCCGCGGGGTCAGCGCCGGGGCTGCGGCCGCCGCGCCACGTGACCCGCGCAGGCCCGGCTCTCGCAGCTGGGCGGGAAAGGCGACCGGGGCGCAAGGCGCGGGGCACCCAGCGCTGAGGACCCGCCAGCGCAGGCGACGGGAGTCCTCCGGTTTCTCGGTGGCGTCTGGGGGGAGTCGCGTGCGGAGACGTCTCTAAATTTGTCGGGGGGATTCGCGGTTGCCCAACCCCCGGTCCTCGCCAGCCCGGGATCCCGGCCAAGGCTGGGTCCGTGTCTGTGAATGGGTCCCTGACCCCGGTTCGCTGCGCTCACAGACATGCGGTGGGGGTGGGGGTGGGCCTTGTTGCGCCGCTGGACTTGCCCAGCGCAGGGATCTCGCTTCCGTGGGGACTGCCCTGCTCGGTGTCCCTGGAGTCCAGTCGGGTGGACCGTCCCTGCCTGTGGCAGCCGGAGTCCCGAAATTCTGACCAAACACAGCAACTGCTGCGAACAGTCCCAGCTGGGGGCGCTGGTGAGCTGGTGGGCGCTGTCTGGAAGCACTCCCCTTCTGCAAGGCCCCAGCCCAGGTCTTCTCTGGACCCTTAAGTGGGACTTTAACTTGGCCTGCAGGGGAGTCCTCCAGGCGCCAGAAAAGTGTGAGATGAGTGAGAAGACCCCCCAGGTCATGGAGGTGCCCTCCCTGGGGGGGTTGGACGGTGGTGGCGGCGCTGTGGCAGAGCAGGCCGCCTGCAGCTCCCAGGGGGATGACCCATGCCCCCCTCTCCAAGGGCACAGGACAGGGGGTGTGCAGTGATGCTGGGCAGGAGCAGGGCTCACCTGGTGGCCCTTGGCTGGGGTGAATGTCTTTTGTCTGCAAAAAGGAGCCCTCTGCTCACATGGGCCCAGCATGCAGAGGATGCTGAATGCTGAATGGGGCCAAGTATGCCTCCACAGTGGGCTAAGCCAGAGACATCCAGCTGTGGAGGGGTGGGGGACCCCGGTGCTCTTCTCCATGTCTCTCCTCCTGGCCGCGGCAGACAGGCACTCAGGTGCACAACGAGGTTCTCGGGGTGGACATGACCAGGCCACCCAGGGGACAATGTCCTGGAAGGTCCCCTGGCCCAGGGCCCTGCAGAAGGTTCCGCAACCAGCTCGGGAGGGGGAGCAGTCAGTCCCCCCGACCCTCCCTTGCACGCATCCACCACTCCATCCTGTCCAGGTCCAAGTGACTGTGGTATGGCTCTCTCCACACACTGCCCTCCGGGTCCCTAACCCCACGCCCTCGGACTTCCTAGTGGAGTTTGGTCTCTCTCTCTTTAGCAGGGGGCCCCACCAGAGAGGGGAGGGGCTGCAGGGGCACTCGGGGTGCTGAAGCTCACTGTACCAGGGGCCCTGTGTGTGACAGTCTCATCTAGGAGGCCACCTCTGTGTCAAGGCCAAGGCTGCGGGACAGCCAGCAGGTCGAGCCTGCACTTTGCCCCATAGACATCAGAGCCTGGAAAGTTGAAAAGAGCCGGAAAGATGCCCCACCACCAAGGGTGGGGGTGAAGAGAGGGGAAAAGGGTGAAACTCAACTTGCTGGGGGCTGGCTCCCCCTCCCCCCATCCCACTAGAAGGTCTGGAGGGAAAGGAAAGGTCCCCAGCAAAGCCAGGTTCCTGCTAGGGCCCTGGAGGAGGGACTTGCATTTTTAACTTGGAATAAAATCCAGGGGAGTCCTTGAAGAGCACACACGGCTGGATGCTGGGCTTCGGCCTGCGGTGTTTGCATTTAACTCTCACATCGATCTGAAGATGGAGATGATCTTATGGTTATTTTTCCTATTACAAATGGGGAAACAAGGCACAGAGAGGTTAGCTAACCTGCCCAAGATCACCCAGCTACTAATTAAACAAGGTAGTTTGAACAAACTAAGAATGCAAAATATGTATAAGGAGGCACACTTTGGTCACTTTTTCTGTATTAACCTATCACCAAAATGGACATGTATTATCTTTATAATTAAAAGACTGAAACTATTTCCCTGGAGAGTATGTGGGGGAGGGGATGGGCATGGCAGAAGCCGCCTCTGAATCGCTGACATCTGGGAAGGAGTCACCCTTTGAAGGCTCTTGCACCCCACGCAGGGCAGGCTGCCAGGTGGCCCGGCTGTGCTGCTCCCACCTGGCTTCTCGGCGCGCACCAGCCCCTCCAGGTGGAATGTGCTTTGGGAGGGGTTCATGGGGCTGGGGACTGCTGCATCGGCCCTAGGGTGGGCACAGTGGGCACTGGGCCAACGTGGAGGGGAGAGCAGGAGAGGGGAATGGAGCTCAGGGTCAGGATCTCAGCTGTCCTCGGGGGACTGTGGCACTGTGGCCTCAGAGCGGCTAAGGAGGCGTGGGAAGGAATTTCTACCCCAGGAGTCAGTCATCGGTGACCCCCTGAGGCCTTCCCAGGCTTCCCCTCTAGGCTCCTGGCAGGGCTGTTGGGGAGACACATCTCAGGGAGACCCCAGCCCTGGTGAGATAAGGGGGCTGGCCTGCTAGCCCCCTGGTGACCAGACAGAGTTGACCCATGATTCTTGTGTGGTGAGGGGCTGTGCCCGCAGGTCTTGGGGAAAGTGATCGGCAAGGTCGAGTGCCTGGGGTGGGGGACCCGGATTGGGGTGGGCGTCCCTGGCCTGCTGGGCTCTGGGTTTCACTTACCCAGCATCTGCTTCCTCCCAGCCTGAGAATTCGGGAACCACTAACTCAGGCACTTTTATTCCAGAAAAGAAAACAGTCCCTATTGTTTGAGGGGGGAGGGGGTAATGGGGGCAAAGGCCTCAGAACCAGCTCCCAAGAGGGACCCAGGCCTCAAGTGTCACCCAAAGGTATGCCAGGCCCCTCCCAGGGATGGTCCCAGGCAGGACCCCTGCCATGTACACACTGACTTGTGGCCCACTTGGAGCTCTGAGCCCCGGCTGAAGCGGCCGTCTGTCCAGCCTCAGGGGAGGGGTGCAGTGCCCAGGAAGTAGCCATCAGGACAGGGCTGTCTGGGTCACCCACAGAAGTAGAGCTAAGCCTGGCACCCCACCCCAAAACTCCAACCAAACCCCATTGGCAGGGGTCTTGGCTCTCCTGCAAGGGGTAGGGGCTCAGGGAAGGGGCAGAGAGGGGAGGGGAGGTCAGAGGGACGGAAGGCCTGATCCTGGGCCCCACTGTGGAGGGCAGAGGAACCCCAAGTCCCCTTCCCTCACAGGGGGAGAAGCTAGTTCAAAGCCACGCCTCCCCACCCCTGTCCCCTCAGCCCCTCTTCCCCCAGGCTCTGCATTTGCAGGGCTGTGACCTGGGCCTGAACCCGCTGAGCCTCAAAGTGGGGCATGAGGCGGAGCTCCATGGAGAGTCCAGGGCTTTGGCAGTGTTCAGGCCTGCAGTCCTGAAGGTCCCAGACCAGACTTGCCCACGGCCAGGGAGGCCAGCAAGGCCAGTGAGGCCAGCGAGGGGGACCCTTCGGAGGTGGGACTGGAAGGGGCTGGGGGCCCCTCCTGGGAGTGTGTGCCCTCTCCTGCAGGCACGGTCAGCTCAAGAGCCCACGGCCGGCCTCAAGCTAGCCTGGCTCTGTTGAATATGCCATCCGACTGTGCCCAGAGCTGAGGCAAGGGGCAGAGACTGCCCAGGGGAAGGGGCTGTGTGGCGGGTCGCCATGCCCCTTCTCTGCTTTCGGGGGTTCTTGTCGCCATCTCTGTCACCACCCACGTGCCTGACCGGGCCTGGGAATGTCATGTTTTAACTCCTTTAAAGCTCACAGCCATGCATGGGGAGATTCTCAAGCCCATTTCATGGTTGGGAAAACTGAGGCCCAGGCCAAAGGGCTCACCCAGGGCTGGCAGGGGAACAGACTGAGGCAGGATCTGAACTCAGACCCTGGGGACCCACAGGCTCTGTACTGCCCCACTCCCCAGCCTCCTGCAGGGCCCTGGGGCTACTGCTCCGCAGGAGGCTGCCCCGACCCAGCCCAAGGCTGGCCTCTTCCACTTCTAGGACCTGATGCCCTCAGAGGGGCAGAGCGGGTGGCCATGGGCACCACCACCTGCCTGCCCACCAGGCCTTGGCTACAGCAGATGCCAGCCTTGTAAACGGCCTGCAATTCAGGTGACCCAGTGCGGCTCTGAGTCGGTTTCCGTCAAGTGGGAGTAGGGGCTGGGGAAGAGGCAGGGTGGAGGGAAGGCGTTGTGAATGGGACTGACACTGGTTTCAAAGCCCCTTCCTGGTGCCGCCTTGGCATGAGAAACCCTGCAGGCGCAAGCTGGCCAGCGCCAGAAGGCCAGCTGAGAGAGAGGTCCTCTGGGGATGCAGGGCGAGTTTGTTTTTGGGGAGATGTAATCACACAGTGTGACAGCAACATTGGCAAATGTCTCCTCACGTGGTGGGATATTTATGACCGGCCTCCAGGCTGAGGGGCTCCCCTGAAAGGCACACCCACAGGGAGGGCAAGCTGGGGCCTCAGCGCCAGAGCAGCACAGGGTCCAGGTGGCCCGTTGCCGGGGAGCAGGCGGCGCAGGGTCTCTGGTGCCCCAGGCCTGAGTGCAGAAGGGTGGACAGTGGGTAGATGGCTGGACAAAGCAGCCCGTCCCGTCTGCTAGCTGAAAACTACTTTGCTGTGAGTGACATCATGCTAAGTGCCTGGTGACCGGGCTGGGCCGTGGGTGATAAAACAGCCTGCCGCTCACGTGGCCTCAGTGACTGACGCTGCCCCAGCAGATCAATCGCCAGCCCGACCGTGGATGGCATCACGCAGTTTCTGGGCCTTCCAAGGCTGTGGGTCCCTGGCTTTGCCAGCGGAGGTGACAATGAAGACCATGTGTCACCCCATGGAGTCACAGCCCTCGACCTACAGGCGGCGCCCCTGTGGCTCCCCAGCCAAATATCGCCCCTCGCGCAGGTGGGCTTCTTGCTCGTCCTTCCAGGCAGTCCAGGATGCGGCGTGTTTATCCCTCCCCCACCTCCCCACCAGGGCTCTGACCC